CCCTTCAATTAACCCCACATGTGTTTATTGGCCAGGTTGGCACAATAAACTAACTCATGCCTTAAAGAAAGCAAATAAGGTAGGCAACATGTAAATTTTATTTTCATCCAACTTTTTTTTGGCCAAAGCTGAAGTTTCGTTTGGAGTGATTGGATATTTTCAGACAAATCGAGGCATATTGCATTTGGTCCTTGCAGTAATAAATTTAACTCATTCAAGATGGCAAAGATGCCAACCAAGTAAGCTATTTTCTGTAGTTCACTTTTATTGCTGAAAAGTGCTTCGAACTGTGGTCTTGCTTTCTGATTAAAAAACGTCTTGAGTTCATCACGAAGCTCAAAAACACATTTTAAAGCTTCCCCTCTTGACAACCGTCTCACTTCAGTGTGAAATAGCCGAGGATTGCTCGGTGCGTCTAACTTGCTGCACAGTTGTGAAAATGGTCGACTGTTTAAAGTGCTCGCTTACAAAATTGACAGAGCTTATTGCACTTTTCATTACTTCTTATAACTCTTGTGGCAGTGTCTTTGTTGCTAATGTTTGCCAATGAATCATACAGTGAGTTCTGATGACTTTTGGTGACGCATTCAGTACCAAATGTTGAAATCCAGATCGACATCCTAGCATAGCTGGAGCACCATCTGTGCAAACACCACAAACCTTTTCCCAAGAGATCTTAGGCTCTTTCAGAAATGAACCAACTGTGTCAAATACCATATATACTCATGTGTAAGCCGAGTTTTTCAGCACATTTTTAATGTAGTTTTGTGGTAAAACTAAATGCTTTGGCTGATATTCGGGTCGGCTTATACTCAAGTATATACAGTACATCACGTGCAGTAGTTGTCATTTCAAGAGGTTTGCGAAAAATAAACTCATCTTTAAAGTCGCCATCATTAACATACCTCACGTAAACCACTAACTGTGAACAGTTTACAGCAGCTGTAGATTCATCAAGCTGGATGCTCAATATTGGAAGTGGAGCAGATTTAATTTCCTGGATTTCCTGATCAAGAATATCAGCAGACATGTCATCTATTCTTCTGTGGGCAGTGTCGT